TTCGTAGATTTTTGCCATCGCAACCGCTGAGGTGTGAAACGGTGCGTTGTCTTGGGAGAACAGGATTTTCTTTTCTGTAAATACGGCAATTTTTCCACGTGTTGCCTTCAGCTTGTCAAGTGAAGATGCGTAGTATGCTTCTGTAATGGTTTTTCCTTCTTCACTACTAACAGTCGCCATCACTTGTACAGCCGAGAATTACAGTTTTTTTTTATGTCGGTTTTCCTTTTTGCAGTTCACTGTTTGGACTGCATTTTTGTTTCGGGCGTATAATGGTGTATCCAATTTCCATCTACAGTAGTTAATCGGTGCCAAAGCTTGGTCCTATTGTTTCCCAAACTCTTACAGTCACGTTTGAATTCAGCCACCCAAAATTTCACTGTGGTATTGTACTGAATTTCGTCAGTTTTGAAGTTGGAAACCTGAAGTTTTGTGTTAGTGAAAAAATATTATAACTATTTCTTTGAAATGTTTACTTCAAAAATACTGTTACTGAAAAAATGAGCCAGCTGCATCAAATGATGAATAGCTTGGAGAAAATTAATGTGTTACCTATAAGGAAATTTCACACGACTAACACAACCGTCAAAGACGTCTGCCCTCACGCGTCTGACCGCGTTCATGTCGCATTTTCGGCGATGGCGCTTCATTGCATAGACCGCTACTCTACCTCCGCGCATCGTTTCCCGTTTTTTTCTTGCAGTATACGCGACGCGTAATGGCTTACTACGTTGCGTCAAGTCAATTTTATCGTGATAACTTTCAAACGATTCGTACAAATTACGTAGTGTAAAAGACGAAGTGTATCTATATTAACTACATGAAATGTACATTTTGAAAAAAGTATTCAATTAATTGTATTTATGGTACATTATCCGCATGTATCTCCAACGGTATAGGCAGCGCACGCCAATATAGCTCTCAGGGAGAAGAAATTTCCCGACTTACTTTATACTTATCGTTATATTATGACCAAAATTACACAGAACCTTTGTTAATTGTTTTATAAAAAATATTTTCAATTGTTTCTACATAATGAGCCCATTGATAGGAGCTTCGTTGGGGAGGCGCAGCAGTCTTGCTCGTAGCAATGCTGCCATTGCTCATGGCAGCATCAAAACTTTTTTTCATTATAAAAAACACCTAATATTTTTTAATAAATTGATGGATGAAGCCGTTACAACGTGGTAGGAAATCATAATGAAGGAAAGAGAAATGAAACTTTCTGTGTTTTCAACCACTTTTATTTGTAACTAACGTTACTGCAGTTTCGTCCTATACGGACATTTTCAAACTTATACAATAAAATATTGTTTGAAAATGTCCGTATAGGAAGAAACTGCAGTAACGTTAGTTAAAAATGAAAGTGGTAAAAAACATAGAAATTTTCTTTTCGCTTTTCATTAATATTTTTTGGATAGTTTATGACTTTTTACACATATTCAACACATTTAATTGATGAAATCTTTTCCCCACGTGGACATCCGGTCCACCCGGCCTCCAACCGGCGTGAATGAAAGTGCTGTTTCTCTTTACACTTGTAGACTTTTCACAAGAATGTTTATTCAATGGTGGCACGTTCTACGACGGCGGACATTCACTACACAAAACTGAGTTTCATCTCCAACATGGCGTCCGCGTACCTTCTTTGTGGAAGATCGCTGTCAGCAATCTGATCTGATTATTGGTCCCTTATTGACAATCCACTTCTTTATTTTCTTCTTGAATAACTCAACAGATATATTCTTTAGCTTATTTGGAAACAAACTATATATTCTTGGAGCACGGTAATTTTCACTTCGTTGACATATACATTTTTTACTTATGTGAAAGAAAATTGCATCAGCTCTTCTGGTATTGTAAGAATGTTCATGAGGGGTGAGTTGAATTTTATTAGCTTCGACATGAAGTGAACTTTCATCAACAAATATTAGTCTCACATCTCTACATTGAGATTCATTATAGAGTGCGTCAGAAAAAAATGTCAGTATTTTGCGATACATCATTTTCAGAACCCATTTCTGCAAAACCTGTAATTGGTTCAAGAAGCAATCATTGATCCCGTCCCAGCCCAAAACCCCATAGGATAGTAAATACTCTATCAAGAAAGAATAAACAGTTTTCAACCGCGTAATGTTCAAGAAATCCTTCAAATATTTGAATTTGGATAAAAAGCCTCTTATTTTTCCTGATATTTGTTTTGTTTGCATATTTCACTTCATATGTCGATCGACAATGATTCCTAAATACCTTCCTTCATTTGAGAGTCTAGTCATTCATTCAAATGCCCAAGAACTGGTAAATCACAAGCATACGATTTGAAAAGTAGGTAAGTGGTCTTTTCATAGTTTATTATTAAATCGTTCCCTGTTAGCCAATTTGATATGTTGGGAAAGTTCTACTTTCTCTTTGAGTTCTTGCCAGGTTGACGCTTTGTAACCACAGCAGTATCTTCAGCAAAGCTAACGATTTCACAAGTGTCTAGAAATAACATACTGTTTATGTAGATACTGAACAGAAGAGGTCCGAGTACAGTTCCCTGGGGTACTCCATATGATACTGTTTGTGTTTCACTGAGAATTCCATCAATTTCAAGTTTTTGTTCTCTATCCAATAAATAGTTCTCAAGAAGGTTATAAATATTTGAAATAAAATGAATTGATATTTCTCTCTGTCTCAGTATCTTCAGAATTTCATTTGGAACGGAAAGTTGTCTGTGCATTAGAAAAATTTCTGAAAAGGTCTCACCTGATTAGCTAGTTTTTGTGTGAGTTTACTAATGGGATTCCTGAAAACGAATGACAGAATGTCTACTCTTCGAAATAGGAAACTTCATTGGTATTCTACATATCAGTAATTGTTTAAATCGGTGATTTGAATCGATAAGACAACCCTGATGTATAAAACAATTTATATGAATATTCATGAAGAGAGATTAACGTATATCGAGGGCAATGGATCGCTGAATATGAATTATAGATAATTTTTGAGCATTAGTCACAAATGGCTATAATAACATGGTCGTCATATGTGAACTTTTGGATGTTACTAATAGACCGCAAGCCCATAACCATTTTTTTATGTTTTATACCTCTTGAAAATGTATTATTTTCATAGTCCTGGAGTGGAAAATATGTTTCAGTCTAATTTGTCGAAAGTTCTTGTATGGCTTTTGTCGCGTCTTCGGATACTCGAAAAAAAAATTAAAATAAGAGTGGACTGTAAGAATTGTGATATAAAGCAAATTCACGGAATTCCTTGCACAGATCCTTGCTTCTGAAAGGGCCCTTTCTTGGAGTGTTCTTCCTCCAGCTTCACTGGATTTTCCAACAAAACGGAAAGTTAAATTGAGTTACCAAACAGTGGGAGATGACACAGAGTCTAAAGCACACACGGCGAAATAAGTAATTAGCAAAAATAGCCATACATGTTTCTTGCACATAGCATGAAATTGTAGATAGGTCTCTGTTGATATGGTTTAGATGGATAAGCATAATTCAATCAAGTCTCGAGCATGCGCCCTTAGGAGTCGCTCCATGCCAACAATAATAATAATAATAATAGTAGAAAATTAAAAGACGCAACATTACCGGCACCCCAGAAAGCATATGATTTAATATGCATTTTCTAATTCGAAACAAAATAACAATTTCCTGAAACAAAAATTATTATTTTCTCATTAGTCAGTGGGTTATGCTTGAAATAGTTATTCACGTTTCACCTACAAGTGTTGGAAGTGGCATTTTATTTTGTGAGTAGGGATTATTGCAAATCGAGCGCCAGCAAGTGGAGCAAACTCACGAGCAAAATAAAATCACTTTTAACAAATGTATCATACAATTTTTTTTGTATAACGTTTCTGCTGATAATAAAAAAATTATAGGGTTCATGGGATTTGAACACACGATCTTTGGATTACAAGGCGTATGTTACAACTACATACGCCAACTCACGCCAATGAACGAGAGGAAGTTTGTAAGATTACCAAATAATTTCCTAAACTATGGCTCCATGTTAAAAGCGCCTTCAACATTACCAAAACCTGTTACTTCAAATGAGGACAATACTGTTAACGTTTTGGCATATTTTTATGCATATCCAGAAGCTTCCATTCGCAGTGCAGAAAAAGATTTAGGTGTATCACATGCTTCAGTACAACGAATTTTGAAAAATCACGGAATGCATCCGTATAAATTTACCAAAGNTTAAAAAAATAAAGTTGCTAGGACTTTTTGATGGAAGTGGCAACGCCGCAATGCTGATAATATTTTAGATCGATAAAACAGGTAAGGAAATGTGAGAGGTGAAATTTTCAGAAAAATCATGCTTTGCGTTTTCCAGAAACGTCTAACCTATCATCGACGTTGAGTCACGTTGTATATAGGTACTCAAAGCTCGTCTTAAAACTCGTCTCGACAAATTTCAATTGAGAGATTATCTTTGGTTTGCTACAGGATATACGTTAAGATCCAATTATAATTTTGTTGTTCCCCATCATAAATTAATGAAATCAGCAAACGGCTCTGTAATAATTCCCATCAAATCATTCAACAAACTACAAATCTTTCTTAAACAGGTATCAAACTTGCATTCCTTCAAAAAAATGGTAAAAAACTGTTACAATACATTTTATTTCCTCCATGCATGCTTCCAGGATGATTTGACAATATAAATCACTCGATTGGAACAGTTTCTATTGTATTTCTTTTAATGTCTGCTATATGAAGTGACTTGAAATCCCTGAAAGAACCAATAGAATCGAAAATAAAAATGAATAGCTGAAAATAACAATCATATCAAACAAAAAAACCCTGAAATGAAATCACAATAAAATACAAGCAAAAAATTGAAAATTTAACAATGAAAAAGAAATAAAAATTCAAAGATTAGCTAAGTTACTTCACGACGTTTCGATTGTTAGTGTTCACAATCGTCTTCGAGTGGTAGTGAATATGGATATGGATTAGGAAAGTGAAATCAGAAATTTAGAATGTGCCAAAAATTTTTATTTTTCAAAAGTTTTTCACTCAATAATAAAATTATGGTAGTTTGAAACTCGAATACGGTATGCCTCACTAATTTGCAGCTTCGTAAAGAAGTTGTTTTTTGCATGGGTGCATGGGTGCTAGTGTTCATGAGTTCAAAACCCTACTAAGGCAGTTTTTTCATTTTTTCCAACCACTCAGTAGTCAAACTATTCAAAGATGCTTCAAATGACAGAAATAAAAATTATTTTTGAAAATTCTATTCATGCTTCTTGTTACAAAATTCATAGTATAATCCTTTTTCGAAAATATTCCGTAGAATGAATCACTATATGAACAAAGAAAACACATTGGTGTTTTGACTTGATTATTACTTTTTTATATGTGAGTTGAATTCTGTTGAAAAAACAGTTGAAGCTCGGTCGATTATGGTTTTCTTTTCGGTGTATTCGAAGCAGATCATAATTTTTCAGACGTGCAGACGTCTTGAAGATCATTGTTCAATTCTTAGACCACGCTATACTGAATTGGACAGCTACTAAAATATGCGTCACAATGTTTCCAATCAACTAAAAGAAAAACACAATCTGTTAGTATCAAATGGGGATAGAAGTGATGTAGGTAGCGATACATCAATCAATTCAATGCAGAGTGCAACAGACTATTGGTTGATACTGGAAGTCACAGCATTCTGGAAATGACCTCTGACTTTACGCATCCAACTTTCAACTACGAACTGCCTTATAAAGTACTGTTCCCGAGTAGAGAGGGCTAGATCCTCCGGGAGAAGGAAATATTTAGATCAGCTAGTTGTTGGATCACAGATGAATTGAAAACATCTTCCGGTTCCGGTGCAGGTGTTTTCAGTCGCAGACCCCGGGCAGAGATATCAATCTGCCTAGGATCCTATGCCACTGTATTTCAAGCGGAAATGTATGCTATTGAATTGTGTACACAAAGATTGAAAGAAGCCAACCTCATACATAAGTCAGTAAAAATATTCTCGGACAGTTTCTGGTCTAGATTCCTGGCCATGCTGGCCCGAAAGGCATTGAGGCTGCTGACTCCCTTGCAAAGAAGGGTGCTGCAAGCAGCTTAATCAGACCAGAACCTATCATTTGCATCGCATTAGGCTTTGTCAAATAAAAATTGAACACCTGGATGGCAAGGAGATTTATGGACTTCTGGCAAAATCTTCCAGGATTGGCTCACTCCGAAGCGTTCATTCACCCTTCGAAGTTTGATACCAAGCTGTTGTTGGACTACAGTAGGGATGAACTAAAATATCTAACAGGCCTTCTTACAAGTCACTGTCATTTGAATAATCATATGCAGAGACTCGGACTGTCGCAAGGCAGTGTGTGTCGCCTCTGGAAAATGATGAAACAGCACAGCACATGCTTTGTGCCTGCTCCGGGACCAAATCAGGTTCTTAGAGTCCGGTAGAGCCATACTCTTACCATCTGACCTGAAAGACCACTCACCATACAAACTAATCGGTTTCGTTCAGAAGCTGGGTTTATTTAGTTGAGTGTGAATAGGTATGAGCCACAATGAAGACTTTGAACCAAACCTAACCCACCTTACTGAAGAGTTATATAGAACTGGCACATATGCGAGCTGGCAATATGCAGAGTTCCCAACTGTTCATGGCACACCAGTTTACTTGCAGGTTGAAACAGTATTGTCTTGTAGTGTCGTTGCTTTTCGAGTTTGAAAGCCGTGGGTTTTTGGAATTTCTTCCTGACGTTTCGCTGGCGCGAGTGGCTAGCTTCTTCAGACCATCATGGCTTGCTGTCCAATGACTACCCTTTTAGGCTTCGTAAAGCGTATTTATGCCTCATCAGGTACTCAGTTGTATTTTCACCTGAATTTGTACCTATATTCGCACCTGCACTTGAACCTGGAATATTAACAATCTTGCTACCTGTTGTCCTGTTCGTTATTTTCGAATTCTTCAAAATGGGGTTCCATATTTGATTGAGGTTCACCGTTCACCATTGAGGGAAAGCGATAGACACTTTTGAATGGAAGTCGACCTTATGGCTACGTTACGTGGATGACACCTTCGTCATCTGGAAACATGGAAGAGACACCCTGAATCGTTTCCTAGACCACTTGAACGCCAAACACCCGAGCATAGAGTTCACCATGGAGATTGAGCAAGACCAACGGATAGCTTTCCTAGATGTACTAGTAGAACGATGTGGTACCAGACTCACCACAAAGTGTATCGAAAACCCACACACACGGATAGATACTTGCACGCACTATCGAACCACCATCCTAGCCAAAAGAGATGAGTTATCTCCACTCTAACGGACTGGGCTCGGAGAATATGTGAACCAGAACATCTGGAGAGAGAACTGAAATACCTGGAAGTGACCTTGAGATCGAATGAATACAGTGCCTCCGAGACCAGAAGAGCCATGAGACCGAAGGGCACCACGGTGCAGAAAGCGAAAAAGGATCAGATGTTTGCAAGCGCATATCTACCGTTTGTCCCTAGGGTCACGGATAGAATTGGAAAACTATTGGGCAAACACGACATCGAAACAGTCTTCAAACCCACGAGGAAGATACAACAAAGCCTCAGGTCGGCTAAAGACAAAAGAGACCCATTATCAGCAGCAGGGGTCTATCGCATTCCGTGCACTTGTGGATAGGTATTTATCGGAACCACCAAACGATCCATGGGAACAAGACATTTTGTCATTGTCTTGTATTTCATCACGAATGCTTTGATTTCAACTGATTATTTTTCAGTGGAATCCATAATGAAGGATAGAGAATGAATCTTATTCGCCGACGAAGTCGAATATTGGGCTTTGGAAGCCTTGTTCATTATTTATGTTTGGGAATTGAGCCGCCATTGGAAAGCGAAAGGGAGTTGCTGTCGTCTTTTCTGCTCGGACTTTTTCTTTGGGAACAATGGAGTCCAACAATGCATTCTCAGTTTAGTCTGGCCCTCAAAATTATATTTAATACTGGATGGGACGGGGCTGTCTGATGTTGAATCCCGAATGCTTTGTTGAATATTTTAGGCTATGGTTTTGATTCGTTGTCTCGCAGTTGAAGCTGCGAACGAGGTCGGTGCTGTTATGGCTTCTGTTTGCGAAAGGTAGATCTGGATGAAGGAATTTCATTGTAAGACAACAGTGATGAGATTTATACAAATATACCTTGGTACTTTTGCTGAGTTGTAATTGAATAGCCTTATACTTACTGATGGAAGAACCGTCAAAGAGAGGTTGAGAACCTCCGTGCGGCATTCTGATTTCAAAAGTAGGAGTGTAGACACTAGCATTTCCACCTACGAAAATTATTAAATTACAAATAGCTGTATGTGTGGAAATTTCAAATCTCATTTGCCTCAAAAACAGTTCATGAATCAATCATAGTTATTTTTCATTTCGAATTTTTTGACGGATATGTGTATAGTGGTGTCATTTGTTTTTATTTTGTCTAAAATTTTCAAACGAAATGGGATAATGGAATGGAACTAATATGCATTTCTTTAATGTCCCCTCCTTTTATTTTTTGAACTAGTCAACTCAAAAAAATTGAAATTTGGGATAATGAAATTATTATTTTATTTTGAAGAGAAATCGACAGATGAAACTTTCAAGATGGCGACTGGGCGCCACCTGGGACAAAAATCAAATCAATATGTCTTGTGACTACTCATTTTGAAATCGATAAGATTTGTGAAGTTATTTTTGTTTATAAAAACGTCAAAAAATTTCAGTATGACAATGAACATCATTGTTAAGTTAGAATATTCTCATTCAGTTTTCGGTTTTACTAGTAGAAAGGTACCACGGTAACAATCTCTAAAATGATCAATTCTCGTCCATTAGAAGAAAAAATTGAAGCGATTTTTATTTACGGTGCGACGCGTAACTTTCACGAGACCGAAAGGATTTTCAATGAACGTTTTTCGAATCGTCCTATCTGTAGAAAATATTTGAGGGAACTTGTATCCAAATTCACAACTACCGGTAGTGAACATAACAAAAAGCCCTCAGGTCATCCGTCCATTCCGGAAGAACAGCAAGATGGTAGGTGAGGTATCTCCTTCTACTGTGTGGAGACTTTTGAAGAGGAATAGGTATCATCCGTTCAAAATCAAAATGGTACACCAATTAACTGAAGACGACCCTGATCGAAGAACAGAATTCTGCGAAATCATGACGGAAACTATTGCAAGGCATCCTACTTACCTATCTCCACAATATTTGTTTCAGTGACGAATGTACATTTTTCCCGAACGGCAATGTTCACAAAGACAAAATTGTCATTATTGGAGTGACACCAACACTCACGTTTTCCGGGAAACACATACCCAATATCCAGTGAAAATTAACGTATGGTCAGGAATATTGGAAAACCATATTGTAGGACCTCTATTTATTGATCAAAATTCAACAGAAGAACTGTATTTCAATATGCTGGAAACTACTGTTGACCCTCTCATCACTGAAATCGTCGTAGCGAATCCAAATGAATTCGATGTCGGTATTGTATTTCACCAAGATGGAGCACCATCACATCACTCCGGAAAAGTAAAAAACTATTTGGATACTACTTTTTGGATTCGTCGTCGAAGTCCTACAGAATGGCCAGCCCGCTCGCCAGATTTGACAACTTTGGACTTCTTTATGAGGATATTTGAAACAAAAGGTGTACGAAACTGAACCTGCTTCATTCACTATTGGTTATATGGCAGAGAATAATAAATATTAGTAGGGATATTGACGTTACTGTGTTCGAAAATGTTCGGCGTGGAATATCGGATAGGCTGTTCATCTATCAAGAAGTTCATAGCAACCATTTAGAGCATCTCCTGAAATGACCTCAAGCTCATTACCTCATATTATGTGGTTAAATGCCAATGTATTCAGGCGATTATTAAAAGTTTCGCCATTTTGTAGTAGTTGAAGATATTGACATTATATTCCAGGGTTGTGAAGCATTTGTTAGGAGCTTTAAAAAGATGTGTTACAAGACCCCCCTTTTTATTCAATTTTTTTCCCAGATGGCGCCCAGTCGCCATCTTGAAAGTTTCATTTGTCAATTTCACTTCAAAATAAAGTATTCATGCATTAATTTCATTATTTCAATTTTTTGAGTTGACCTGTTCAAAAAATATAGGGGGAACATTAAAGTAATGTACTGTATATTCTGATCAGAGTAAGACTCATAATAGATTTTGCAATATCACCTAGAGCAAAAGAAACAATAATTTATTGTCACTGACTTGAGAAAAGAGGTTATCATTTCGTAATGTTGTTAGTGGCTTAGATAAGAATGAAACTCACCTGATCAGCTTCCTCTTGCCTGAGTTTGCCAATGGGATAATTGAATAAAAATGATAGAAATTTTTCATTCTGAAAATTAAAAGGTTTTTGTTTAGTAGATTCATCAGAATTGTTGGTCAATGAAGTGCTGTTATATCATGATGAGTCAAGATTCTCGTTCAATAAACGTTGCAAATTGTATCATGATTTTCATATGCCTTTGAAAAAGTAACAGAAAACATTTCAAAAATTTTTGGCAGACAATTGTGACAAAGTATCGATGGGAAATGTTATCACCAATGGAGATGTTCTTTATGTAAAGCTAAGCACAATCATTTCAGATTGTAATAATCCAAAACTGCCAAATACAATGATTTTTAGATACAAGTTCAAACAATGTGACCACTTGTCGTTTCGGTCCCATCAGACAAGATTACTCTAAGACACAGATGGCGTCCATCGATAATGATTATATGATAATAATGAAGAAATGTCTACCCCTGTCTAGGCATCACTTTTCATAGAGTATTCTCATTTACTGTGCTATTTATGATTTCGACAATGAGGTAATGAAGTATATCAATTTCAAGAATGAGGCTTTTTTTCGAGAAAAAAACACAAGCACTACGCAAAAAACCTTGAGGCGTTATAAAAGCGGTGCTTGTGCGAAACTAGAGACTCACGTTGGATTCGAATCACTGCAGATCAAATTCATTTGAAAGAAAGTTTTCAAAACGTTTATTCCACATAAATGTAGTTATCCAAACTGAAGTGTGAAAGTATCTACAGGGTGTAACTGAATAAGTGTAAAACATTCAAGGAGGTGATTCCTCATCGAAAAAAAGATAGGATCTTTCACATAAAGAAACTTCATTGGAGCATCCCTTGTTAAGATACAGCCCCTTAAAGGGGGTACATAAAATTTTTATAACAATTTTTTTCACAAGCACTGAAAAAGTTACAATATTGAAATCAACCTGATGTTTTGTACTACCAAAAAGACACTTAGCCAGTGATTCATTTGGTTTACCCCATGGTTGTAAGGGGTGGAAAACGCAACCCTTAAAATTTATTTCCAATGTAACTTTTTGTCTAATGATTTGTTTACCATTTAAAAATTCATTTCCGATAGCCTGTTTCATTCTAAACAAAAAATGACTCCTGGGTTTTTTGCCCAAAATGAACCAGTTCGCAGCAAAAAATTATTTTACGAACAACTACAGAGATACATCGTCATGAATGCGAACTGGATTTATTGTTATTTTGTAGTTAGTACCTGCATTGAACGATTAAAGGGTGAAAAACAAAACTTATTCATCAATAACAAAACACACAACATGTAGAAATCATAGTAAATGTTCAATATGTCTACCTTCAGACATTATGTATGCGTCTAGACGTCGGCGCATTGAGCCACGTATTCGCTCAAATATTCCTGGAGTCTCTGGTTACCCTGCACGCATCGATGATGCGGTTTCTTAAATCCTCTACATGGCAAACAGGAGTACGATAAACCAAATGCTGTAAATGGTCCCAAATAGAGAAATCGAGAGGATTGAGATCCGACGATCGAGCGGACCAGTTCTGTGGTCCTTCTCGACCTATCCACTGATTTGCATATGTTTCAGTTAAATGCTGACGTGCTACTTGACTAAAATGGGCGGGGGCCACATCATGCATGAAAAACATATCCCTTCTGACGCCCAAAGGAACTTCCTCCAGCAGTACTGGATGCATTTCTCTTAGAAAATGAACTTATGCCTCACCATTTAATCGAGCAGGTAGAAAATGAGGCCCAATTGAATCATCTCCAATAACTCCGAGCTACACGTTAAGAAAAAACTGTTCTTGATGGTTAGTTTCAACAATAGCGTGAGGGTTTTCATCAGCCCATATGTGGTAATTATGGAAATTAATAATCTTATCCCAAGAAAAACTACATTCGTCTGTGAAGTCTATCGTCTTCAGGAAGTCACAATTTCTTCTAATCATTTCCAGCATCCAATTGCAAAATTCAAGACGGTTCGGAAAGTCTCGTGGTAACAGTGCCTGTACTCGTTGCAGATGGTAAGGGTATAAGAGTTGTTCCTTTAAAATTCGAAATACCGTCATATGATCAACATTTAGCTGGAAAACAATCTTTCTAGTACTGGTAGAAGGTTGTTCTTCAATCAAATTGAGTACTGCTTCGTCAAGCTGTGGTGTTCGTACTTCTTGATGGCGACCACAATCCTGCGTTCTTTTGTCAAATGAACCATTTTCTCGTAATAGTTGATGAAGTCGAGCAAATATTCTATGTGAAGGATGCTGCCGTTGAGGATACAGTTCAGCATATCTTCTAGAAGCTGATGCATATCAGCCATTTCCTCATTTGTGTATGCCATTTTAATAACAAGTGAATTATTAAAGTAACAAATTGAGAACAGAACAACAATACACAATTCAATTTCAAAAATTCACAAACTAATATCGACCTAATAGATAGATCAGTTTTGTATTTTCGCATTTATGACGATGTATCTCTGTAGTTGTTCGTAAAATAATTTTTTGCTGCGAACTGGTTTATTTTGGGCAAAAAACCCAGGAGATATTTTTTGTTTAGAATGAAACAGGCTATCGAAAATAAATTTTTAAATGGTAAACAAATGAGAACATAATAATAATAATAACAAAACGTCAGGTTAATTTCAATATTGTAACTTTTTTGTGCTTGTGAAAAAAATTGTTACACAAATTTTATGTACCCCCTTCAAGGAACTGTATCTTAACAAGGGATGCTCCAATGAAATTTCTTTTGATGAAAGATCCTATCTTTTTTTCGATGAGGAATCACCTCCTTAGATGTTTTACACTTATTTAGTTACACCCTGTATAAGGAGGGTAATTTTTGTATTGCATTTGTATTTTTGGAATAGTGGCCTACAGTGGTCTTTGAAATCTGCAAACGCAATGGTTCGAACTGCCTTTTATTATAGTTTGAAGACTTTTATTGAATTGGTGGAACTGCCCCACAATATTGTAGCATATGCTATATGGGAGTGAAAGAGTGCGTAAAAGGTATTCAACAGAACATGTTCACCCACTACTTTCCATTATATTTACATACTTTCCCGATATTTCTAGTAGGCTGATGTCCATCTTTCAACACAATGTTTGGTGACAAATGAAATAAAGTTGTTTATTGTCAGATTCGTGCTCTCAGAAGATACAATATGGCTCGTGCTGGTTATAATAATCACGATTTCTTTAACTTATCGGTGATTTATGGCGAATGCAATAAGGTGTTAACAAGAACATGTGATGCTTATGCTACAGGGTATCCAGAAAAACCGAAACCATCTCCAAATATCGTTAAATGATGAATCTTCAATCTTACGAACTTTGGATCAATCGAAAAGAAAATTATCAAAATTAAAACGGTGGTTGACAATGGAGATAATGCGATTACAGTGCTTGGGTACTTTACTGCTTTTCCAGAAGCATCTTTGAAAGATGCGGCACGAGATTTGGGATTGAATAAAATGTCCATGCAGAGAATATTAGCAAAACATAAATGGCATCCGTATTCTCATACTGTAGTCCATAGCCTGCAGCTATCCGATTATGAGAGAAGAATTAACGTTGCGGAGTTCTTCATTATGAAAAATCAAGAAAACGACCAATTTTTGAGGAGCGACGAAGCAAAATTTACCAAAAATGGGATATTCAACAGGCGGAGTTCTCACTACTGAAGCGATACAAACCCGCATTCAGTTCGGGAACTTCAATTTCAAGACCGTTGGAATTTCAATGTTTACTGCGCTGTTGAAGACGACGCAATAGTGATGCTTCATTTCTATGATGAAGATTTAAATGATTAATTGAAAAGTATCGAAATTGTATTGTTTCTTCGATTTAAAAAAACATTAAAATACATCACTCAAGAAAATGGCATTAAGGTAATTGTATTGTTTCTTCGATTTAAAAAAAACATTAAAATACATCACTCAAGAAAATGGCATTAAGGTAATTGTATTGTTTCTTCGATTTAAAAAACATTAAAATACATCACTCAAGAAAATGGCATTAAGGTAGCTATGTAATAAACATTCATAGCATTTAGAAAATACCTAACAGACCAACAATTATTTTTATTTTCAGGTGAACGATACCTAGATATTTGAAAAAATCTCGATACGGATCATTTGGAAAAACTGACGCTCGCTGATCATCGAAAAATTTGGTATCAACATGATGGAGCACCTCCACATAATCATCACATGGTGAAGATTTATTTGGAAGAAACGACCAGTGGTTTGGAACGATGGTCCTCAATTATGGCCACCGCGATCGCCCGATTTAACTCGAATGGATTTTTTTGTTTGGGGTTACATAAAAAACGGGGTGTATTCTAACACACCAAGAACAAAAGAAGATTTTCAGCAGAGAGTTCGTACTGCTTTCAACTCTATTCCACCGGACGTGATGGGACGAGCTGTAGGAGACGTCATACGGAGAAGTGTGAAATGTTTAGAAGTTGGAGGCAATGTATTTGAACATTTGTTGCAATAAAAAAAGCGGTTGACAAAAATGTCACATGTTCTTGGTTAGCATTGAAACTAAATTTGAAATTGTTGTTTATTCAAATCATGATTTTGTCTTGAATATGGGATTATTTTTCATGAGATATTCAATGTGAACTAGGCAACAAAGAAATTTTATCGGACAAAATTGGAGGGGTAAAAACGTAAATCCCCGCGTGATAATAACTTCTATTGTGGAATATCACCAAAATTATATGTTTTGGGTAAAGGGAAGTATATCATAACTAGGGCTAATTTTTATAATAGAATTGAACCTTGAGGAAGAAAATTGGGGTTTCCATTTGAAAAAGTTGACCCCTTATTTTTGCGCACCCTGTGGATTATTCAGTGGTGATGCGTGATCCTTTCAACCTTCAATTATCACTATTCACTAGCTGCATATTTTAAAAATGTTAATCTACATGAAAATGACGTATGTTCGAGAGGCTACATCTGTCACTTTTTCTAAAACAACTTGAAATACTCGAAAACGGGTCATTTTGGATAAAGGGTATGATACATAAGTTAGAATCTAAATCATGGGAAAAATTAAAAAATGAGGTGAAATACAGGGTGTGCCGTTGAAAATATCAAAGATGACGTCACTTCCGGTGAAACTCGAAACGTCACCTCAACGAAAATATTTCAGTTGAATTTTCCATTAGTTCTCCATCCATCCTATCAATTTTCGGAATCGCCCTACTTCCAGTTTTCTATACATATAGATCGCGTTAACTCGTCAAGATATCATCCTATATGCATCCATAGATGACAGACTAAATTTCGTGACTTCAAGAGCTCAAGTTCACGGATCATTAGAGATGAAACAAACATCTAGCCAAGGGAAATTTCGGAAATGATCTTGAAGATTCTCCCACTCGGCAGGTCTGTAATGCAAAACTTTGCGCGGCTTAGATTGTAACCCAACATTCATCGGTAATCCACTTAAAACTGAAACGAGTTTGTGGTCAGAAAATCAAAATGGAGACTTACGGTGACTGTGTGCATTTTCGGATTGGTTGTTAGATCCAGAAGACTAGCATATTCTCTATAATTTCGGAATTTACTCTTCACGATGATGTGTATGTCATATGAAAGCCGTTACTCTCAGACAGAAACTGGAAAATGAAGCTTTTTTCAAAACAACTGGGTCCATATGAACATCAAATTACACAACTGAAAAAATACTTCTGAAACAACTACTTTTTCACGGTGAGAAAAGTTAACAGTCACGCATCAATAGAGATGCAGAAATGTCAAGTTTTTTTTGACATTTGTACAAAAAATCATTTCGACTCGATATGTTCCAAAATTGTTATGGAGTAACTCCACTCCACGGTAGTGCGTGTATGTGATCTAGCAAGGGTTGAGTGGTAGAGCACCCTCGGGTGAACTCCCCCTTGGGATTTTTGTGTAACAAGATGAATATCATGCATTTTATTTTTCATTGGAAATAAAGACATTATTATTATTATTATCATTATTATTATATGATCCCCCAAAGAAATGTTATTCCTTACCACTTTATTCACCTCTTCAGTCTTTTTTGCCATCAGAGTCATGGAATGATACGCCGGAATTTTCAGAAACAAATACTGATATAATTTTTCTGAATTACTCCATATCTCACCAAACGTGAGGACAAATGTATCAGTGATAACATAACATGAGAGAACTATTATGAAAATTGGAATATAGGGATACAAAAACTTTGATAAATATATACCATTTCGTTGAATGGCTATGTATAGTCTTATATGTTTTGTAATTTTCTCATGAATTTCGACATCTTGGTACTGATAATCGTAAAATAAAGCGATGTTTGAATAGTAAAAACTTCGATACTCCGGAGGTATCAACATCAACAGCGTGTTTTTCACACAGAACTGGTCAAGTAGATAAAGCATTTTGGGTAGTTCAGAGAGCATTGAAAGCTCATAAGCAAGGGACAATATGAAATGTGCAGATGAGACTTTCGCTATATTCAAATAAAAGTTCTGGATGTCAGTGTACCAAACTCTGAAGAAAATATTCGTTAGCGTGAAACAGCAGGCGTACCAATTGAAAAGACGTCGTTTCAAGACCAGAGACCTATATTCCTTTGACCATGATCTCGATTGTATTCTGAAAAAATCTTTCTGTCTTTGAATACTTAGATACCCGTTGAACGATTTGACATATATCGGTATCGACATCAATCTCCAAAACCAGCAATAAATTGCGCTAAGATAGAGAAACGAATCACTGGCTAGTTCTAGACACTCATTTGTAGACGTGCAGTTTGTTTTCTTCGAGGTTATAGCCGTTATCACCACGGCATTTATGGAAAGTGCTATCCATTGAAGGCAATATAACACTTTTCTTATTTCGACCTGTGCAATATTTTTTTGTTGATTATGCGAGCATTTGTACCCTATAGGTGTAAGTATAGTCCCAGTGATTGCTTTCATGTAACAAACCAGACAATCATTTTTGTTTTTACTCATTTCGAACTGATACTGAAATATCGAAGCTTGCCTTGTTAGAATAACTTGCTGCTGCTCGATTCCACGGTTCATCATCATCAAAACCCTTAATCGAACGAATTATCTAAGTAATGATCGTATGCTAATAAGCATCATAATCATTACAATTTTTTTGTGACAATCACCGTCTGTCCAGTTATAACTGAGCACCTTGTGATGATTGATGAGACGATCATATTGTTATACATCATTTTTTTTTCCTATTCTATTCATTTATCAAAACAGAGAACGATTTTCAAAATATGTGATGGAATTGATTAACTTGATGAAAATCCATAACGTATTCAAGAAACATTTCATTTGTTTGAAGGTGGTTGACAATATTTCTTGATGCATTTCATTAGTTCGGACTTGCATTGTCTAATATAATATAAAATGATATGGAATCCCTGAAAGAATCAATAAAATTAAAAAGATTTGCTAAAAAACTCACGATTATAATAATCGTCTTCGGGTGGTAACTGTCATCACCCGAAGACGATTGTGGATACTGACAAACGAAACTTCATGTAGTAACTTGGTTTGAAATCTTTCAATTTTGATTTTCATTTCTTATTAATTGTTAATCCATACTCCTTTTCATTTTATCACATTTCATTATATTGTTTCCATTATACAGTGCATTTAATGTCCCCCCCTTTCATTTTTTGAACGGGTCAACTCAAAAAATTGAATTCTGAGACGATAAAATCAATACTTTATTTTGAAGTGAAATCGACGTTTGAAACTTTCAAGATGGCGACTGGGCGCCATCTGGGAAAAAATCAAATGGAAAGGGGGGTCTTGTGACATATCATTTTGAAGCTCCTGATGAATACTTCATAATCCTAGAATATGAAGTCAATATCTTCACCTACTACAAAATGGCGAAACATTTAATAATTTCCTAACTAACACATCAATATCGATATTTCTAGAAATATTCCTTTTTATTTGCCATATGGCAATTCCAACAACCCAATAAGGTTTCTTGAGTTATTTTTTGTTTATAAAAGCGACAAAAAATGTCAGTACGACAATGAACATCAGTTAGACTATTCTCATTTATGGGAAAAAAAGTTTTTGGTTTTCTACTACTCCATCTTGATACAAAAAACAAGGATGAGGGAATCTTCCAAAGAAAGGAAGTAATCAATTCTAAATTAAGTAACTCTATACATAGATGTGTAGATCATGCAAAAAAGTAACTTTCAGACACAAACTGAAAGAAAGTCCTCCTGAAACAGCTACTTTCATATAAACATTGAATTACACGAAAGAAATAAGCACATACCCAATATCCAGAAAAAAATAACGTTTCGGCAAGAATATTGGGAAACCATATTGTAGGACCTCTATTTATTGATCAAAATTCAACAGGGTAACTGTATTTGAATATGTTGGAAACTACTGTTGACCCTCTCATCACTGAAATCGTCGAAGCGAATCCTAATGAATTCGATATAGATATTGTATTCCAACAAGATGGAGCACCATCACTTTACTCCAGACAATTAGGAAACTATTTGGATACTACTTTTCCCGGTCGTTGGATTGGCAGTCGAAGTCCTACAGAATAGCCAGCCCGCTCGCCAGATTTGATATCTTTGGATTTTTTTATGGGGCGTTTTGAAGCAAAAGGTGAACGAAACTGAACCTGCTTCAATATTGGATATATGGCAGAGAACAATAAATATTTGTAAAGATATTGACGTTTCTGTGTTAGAAAATGTTCGGCGTGAAATATTGGATGGACTATTCGTATGTCAAGAAGTTCAAAGCAATCATTTGAAGCATCTTCTGAACTGACCTCAAGCTTATTACCTCATATTATGTGGTTAAATGTAAATGTATTCAGGCAATTATCAAAAGTCGCCATTTTGTAGTAGTTGAAGTTATTGACATTATATTCTAGGATTGAAAAGCATTTCTCAGGAGCTTCAAAAAGATGTGTCACAAGACCCCCCTTTCTATTTAATTTTTTTCCCAGATGGCGCCCAGTCGCCATCTTGGAAGTTTCATCTGTCAATTTCACTTCAAAATAAAGTATTTACGCATTAATTTCATTATCTCAAATTTCAATTTTTTGAGTTGACCCGTTCAAGAAATGGGCTGTTTCGTTATATTAGAATAAAATGATAAGCTGGAATACAGGGTCATTCCTATTCAATGTGTCATTGATAATCCCCAAAAAAATACTAAATTGAAATCATTCTCAAGTCCTGATGTAAATCATTAGAAATTCTCATTTCTGCAAACTTTGGTCCTGGTAAAGGTCGGGTGAAGGCATTAGCTTGTTGTTCACATGTTGGAATATATTTTAGTATGATTGTCTTTTCGTCTTTTCGCCAATCGCTCTCATGAAAGTTTCATCTGTCAATTTCACTTCAAAATGAAGTATTCATGCAATTATCTCATTAACTCAAATTTCAATTTTTTCAGTTGACCCGTTCAAAAAGTAAAAGGGGGGGACATTAAAGAAATGCACTTCATATACTCACCATATTTTTCATGTGTTCAACACTCTTCAGAAATGCAAACAATACCCAAGTATGAGAAGGACGAACAAGCATGAATAACATCAGATCCAGTACTGTTGAAATAGTATACCACGTAGACGATCACAGCATACCGATGGACTACGATGATATGAAGGAAAAAAAAATCATGCTCTCGTTGTAACTGTAGATGTCCAAGCTGATTTCTGTGTGTGCGATCCTCAGGTGTTCTATTACCTCACCAGCATTTGGGTGCTCGCCTTCGCAGAGCTTGATGAGGATGATCCCCATGAAAATTCTGGTGTTGGGTGCTAAGGAATGTAAATCAACGAGCTCAAGGCTAGTTTTTCGAAGCAAACTAGTGCTCCAGTGCGGAACTGGGCATAGAAGAGGAAAGTTACATTTTGTGTCAATCTGAACAACATTCCCCCATGGTAAAGGTTGTTCCATATGAAGTAGATAAATGGAGCCATAGCAAAGCTCCTCCTTGCATCAGTACGGCTATTAGAACCAGGAAGATAATTCCATATTGCACTTAAAATACTACTTTTCTTACTGAGTGACAGAACATACCATCTCTGAACACTACTGCCAACTGATTCAGTGTGTCAAGATGTTTTGGTATTCTCAGCAGAACAACTATGGTAGCAAGTCCTGCGTACCATCCATCTTGAAGTGGTGAGAGTGATTCATGGTGAGCTAATATGTCATAGGCCACATCAGTGACCACTTCGTAAGTGAAATAATAATACACTATCACACTGTGTATAAACAAAGGTCAGGATTTGCGAAATACAAATTTGGCATTTTGATGACCCATCATCAATTCCAATAACCCGAATGCGTATGAAATAGGCCCAACTGTTTCGCAGAAACCAATAAGTATATTTTGTGTCATTTGTTGATGGTTGCTTGTTTGAAAGAATTGAAGCAGGTGATACTTTTTTGAAATGATGAGGCATTTTGGAGACCGTCACTCAAGTTTCAGACCAAGCTGCCCGGAACTGTAGAGCTACCAAGACGTACGTGAGAACTGTTCCAGATATCTAGAATTTCAAAGTGAAAGATTTCATTTTCAAAAATAATGAATACAATTTCGGTCTCCCAATTGTGCTTACCGATGCAAGTAATCTTCTCCCAATAGTGATGGTGTCTGATGCTCTTACTACTGGTTTCTGAAGTATGAGTGTTGCAACTAGCATTTCCACCTGCAAAAATATTCGTGATGAACAAAAAATGAAACGAACACGCATATTCACAAGTTGTTGAAGTTACAGAAATACACATTTCACTGGTGTGGAAAATGAAATTTTCTGAAAAAGGTTCTATTTTGAATATTACTGGGGATTTTTTCCCAACACAAAACCGTTATTTTAACACTTCGACACGTGTTTCGATAACCAAATGATCGTCTTCAAGAGGAAGATAAAACTGTTTGATCTTCCACTAGAATATATAATTATTTGGTGATTGGATGAAATCCGTGTTGAGTTGTTAAAACAATGGTTTGATGTTGACAAAACTCCAGTAATATTCATTACTACAACAAAGGTTCCAAACTTTGCATCACAAGGATCTATTTTGGTCAGAGCTCCTTGAAAACATATACAAGGGGTTTTGAGGATGTTACTCGACACTTCAGAAATCAGGCAAGAAAAAGGGTCTGATTATTCAACATGGTCAATTTTGTAGAGAAACCCAGCAGTTTCTCATTGCTATTTTGGGAGATTTGAAAGTAATGGAGAAACTTTTACAGATGTAGAAAGGGCAAACATCCAAGTTCACCTCGATGAGTTAGTGTATATTTTCCACGATGGAAAACGTTTTAGTAACTTGTAGTATTCAATAATATCGCCAACTTGAAAGTGAGCTGGAAAATTGGACTATTTTTTGGACGCTGAAAATCAACCTACGTTTTTTCTCTTTGGTTTATTCAATTTTCAAACATATTTCATTACAATGTTCAGTTTTATCAAGGTGTGGTATTCCCACACTAGAATACACAATGCCGGAAATTACTTTACGACGACGTCTAGACAGGCGAATTTTGAAACAGCTCAATATCAACAAGGCGTCTGGTCCTGATGAAGTACCCGTCATCGTACTTGGGGAGTACGGCAATGAACTCGCACCAGTATTTGGCACACTTTTCAACCTGTCTTACGAGAGAGGGGTTTTTCCTTCTTGTTGGAACATTGCTCTCGTTCACCTTATTCCCATTGACCATTTGTGATACATAGCATATATATGGTGGGTCAATGATTAATTATTGTTTTTCTATATGTTTTTGAACCATTTTATATTTTATTCTCACGTTAGTAAGTTCTCCACATTCATATATTTTTTACAAGATATATAATCTTATTATTGTAGTTGTCCTGACGAAGGTGTGAAATATACCGCAAGCTTGACATATAACAAAGAGTTTTCTTTGTAACAGCCCAGCTATTTACTGCAACCTCACAAATCAAACTGATTTATAGTTAATCCAGTCACATATATAAAAAAAACGATAAAATCGCCAGTCAGAACACGAAAACTAAAGCAAAACAGCAAGTGAAAAATTAGAACCATTATATATATCTTATTATTCTTCTGTGAAAGAATCCTCTAAATATTCCTTATGAGTGTAGCAACATTTGTCCAGTAATAAGTTTTTAACTTTCTCACTGAATACATTTGCAGAATTCAACCTCTTTATAGAAAGTGGCAGTCTGTTATAGAAATTTATGGCATTATATAATGAAGATTTTTTTAAATGATCACTCTTATGTGAAGCGATCCTCAGAGCAGAAGCATGGCGAGTATCACGACCGTGAATGCCCAAGTTCGTTATGTACAAGTCAAGGTTCCTGTGCACAAAAATGACACATTTCATTATATAAATTGCGGGTGCAGTCAACAAGCGTTCTCTTTTGAAAACGGGTCTACAACTTTCTTGGTACCCCAGGTTGAATATCAATCTTATCAGTCGTTTTTGAGAGATGAAAACTCTAGTAAATTCCTTTGCGCATCCCCAAGCCATCATGTTGAAACTGATGTGGGAGTATGCATTCGCAAAGTAAACATTTAGTAAACCAAACCTATCTAACAAATATTCGAAAGGCTTTTGCATTTCGAGGGATCATCTATATGGCTTTCGGAAACATAGATCAAGAGATGACATCCTCAAATTTGGAATAACGCAATCCAGAAACATGGAGAGCTGTTGGGCTGGATATTTCTAAGGCATTTGACCGTGCGAGGAGGATTTGCTAGCCAAACTTTGATGCTATGGCGTTCACTTCATTTTTCTGTATCTCTTCAGTTTACGGAAAAACCTTCCCTGCAAGTGGCCGTCAATGGATATCTGTCGAATGATCCAACCAGCAGGGATCCACGTTGTCTCCAACTCCTTTTTTATTGTATATCAACGACTTATTGGAAAAAAACAAGAATCCAATATATTGATTTGCTGACGACAGTACACTTGTCTTGTCATTCCATTTGAATTCCAGGACATTGGCTATGGATGCACGTCTTCATCGACAGCAGGAACTTGCATATTTCAATGGGGGTTTTCCCAAAAAAAAGTTTCCGAACCGGATATAATAATTTCAGGACAGACAATTCCGCTTCCTGCTTTGATGGGTTTGTTGAAATGAGGGCTGAAATGGACACCAATATGCCTTGGCACAATCATGTTGCTGGAATTGCAAAGGCTGCTTCTCATTAGCTTGAAAGAATAACTTTACTTAGCGCTAGGAGCTATCTATATAGAAAATTGCTAATATCTCGAAAACTATCACCTCGAGCGTTGTTTAGGAAGTGTACCTTTTTTACTTGAAAAAGGTGTGGAAACTAGGGTTTTTTCATAAAAAGTAACAAAAGTTTACTCTAAAACGTTAGGCGATTTGAAATAAATATGATTTTCCACGTCAAAAAAACCCCGGGTACCTATGGTACCAAATTAAGTGCAAATAACTTATTTTTTGCAGGAGTTATTTTTGAAGAACGAAAAAACTTCGATTCCAACACCCTGTGTCTTCGAAACGAAGCAGTTCCGGACACAAATTCATATATTCTCAGTTTTATTGTCTCAGAAATACGAATATTTCAACATACTTACTTATGTAACACCCTCTATACATGAAAGATAATATATTGGAAATAGATTCACAAAAATGTATGTTTCTAATGAACTGTTCACTCTGTATTAATAACATTGATAAATGTAGTCACAGTTTTGTATCTCCAAACTGGAGCATGTCTTCAGTTAGATGGATTTTCGTGGGAAAGAAAATGTTTCAAAAAAGTAATCAAATTCAATCTATCAATCCCAATGAAGAAAGAAGAAAAAAAGACTAGTGCTCATTCACAAATTTTTTGTTCGATTCACTGCTTATTTTCTGATCATGAAAAATATATCAACCAGGCAAAATGAAATTGATTATCATGGGAAGGGAATATGCTTACCTGTGCAGCTTCTTGTCGAGTCAGCTTGCTGATCGGATATTTGAACAGAAATGATAAAACGTCTTCATTCTAGAACAAAGAAAAAACATTGGAAGGAACACAATAGGTGTATATTGATTATATTATCGTTATATATACATACAATCAATCTATCACTTTTGATATACGTTTTCATCCGGGATTATTGATAGAGAATATTGAGTCATGATCAATGGTACACTACCAGCAATACCAATTACTTAAAATGTCATGAATATTACATCATGATCGCACCATGAGTGGATATGTATTCACCTATCATGGATATGACAACGAATATTTGTAATGGTTACCTTTCCTTTACCCCAGTATATTCTTTTACTGTCAATGTTGAAAACGAAGCTGATATTATGATATCAGCTGCGCATTTCTCTGAACGTTTTGATGTTGGAGGAGTAAACACTCAAAAATACTTAGTTCTCATTGAGAAATGATGATAATCACCATGTCACTTCGAATATACATTTTTGTAATATCTATACAAAACACATTTTGGAGAAAACTTGAGTGAGTAACATTTATTTAGTAGGGTAGTAACGGAACTTCGGCATGTGTTGAGCAGTACTTCAATGAAATTCCAAACGGAATTTTGTTTATGAAAGTAACATAATTTCAAACGATATCAATTTACAGTAGATGTTCGAACTGTTAACTGCTTCACATGAGTATAAGCTAGGTCCAAAGTGAGTGAGTCTATTCGACTGTACACTGCAACACGCAAAGGATTAATGTGGCTCTCACCCAACTTCTTAACGAAGTCGATTAGTTTGCAGAAATTGAAGCCAGAGTGAAAATTCCAAAACGGCTGTTAAAAAATAATTCCATACAACGCTGACTTAATTGGTCACATACAAAAGTGTACATCTATAACAGAGGCAAAAACTCTTGAATTTTGAAAAAATATCAAAAAATATACAATTTGGTACTAGAATTAGTTACTTCAAGGAAGCATTTGAAAACTCTTTTACAGGTCCTCATCAAGAATAGTAAATATTTCCACGCCATCTCTTTCACCAAAAAATGTGATCCAAAAAGTGGTCCAACTAAATATCACACTATATCTGAATTGAAACTTTTCTCACCATTTGATTGACTTGATCAGCCTACTCCATCAGGAGGAACTACATAAACACAAATGGTGATTGTGAAAAGATGTATTCAAAGGTATTTTTAGGTTCTCTGACCACTTTTTGGTCAGTCATAAGGAAGGTGTCTAGAACATCGTATACTGTAACGAGAACCACAAGAATGGTGCAGGAAACAGTTGGTATTTATAATGATGGCCATATAAAGCCTGGCTCTTTTCGGAATTTCGTCATGTATCTTGACATGTCGAGGAATCGACAGAGAAAGAAAGTTTCTCAGAGAAAATTTAAAACATTTCGATGCTGCACTGTAAAACGTGAACTGCATTAGAGGCTGAAAACTCTGGAAATGAATCAGAAAAGAAACCGCGATTTTCGACAGATCTACATAGGGAGAAGTATCAGTCATATCTTGTATTTTATACAAAGCATGAAGCAAAGTATAAATCCAGAGCAACAAATTGAACAGCAACCTCTTCAACCTAAACAGTTTCAGTTCTCTTTCAAAGGAAGGATACTGAATTCGAAAGTAGTTCTAAAATTCTTGGATACTCTTTCAAGCATTGTGAGATGCAACAGTATCAGGTACAGTGAATAACCTCCAAAACCAGACGAAATGATTACAAAGAAAAAATAACCCTTCTCTAACTTGTATGAAACAGTTGGTATCCATTATATTGCAATCTTTCTTCGATTCTAAGATCGTCACAATGAGGATAATACCCATATAGAAACCAGTCACATGAAGGAAGTATTTAGTTTTAATAATTCTGACAGGAGACTTGATCTGTTGGTCCAGTACAGTTCCATATACTACTTTCAATAAACACTTGAGACAATTCCTTTTTTTTCAATCATCTCGATGGATTGCGTTAGAAAAAAACTTGAAAGAAATACGGGGCTACTGATATTTACCTGTCTTCATTGTTCACCATCACAGAATATTTACAGTGAATAAATTATGAATGTACTTACTGACGACTATCTGACTGATAATGGTCATAATTTCTGAAATTACACTAGAAATGAAAATCTCATTTAGAAAATGACTAACTCATCTGAAGTTTCGTATAAAGCAGTCATTTACAGTGCAGACGAAAATAGTCTCGATCTCCTGACTTTGGAACGAGGCGAAATATCAGAGTCGAACAATATTTGTATAAAAACGAATAATTTTTGGTACTATTCGAAAAATAAATCGTAGAAGCGACGCAATGAATTTTTTCAAATAGAAAGGGGAGTCCTGTGATCCTCCCTCCTGAAGGAATCATACAATTACACAACGTATCCCTAATAACGATTATTGGAAATATACTAAAGAAATTCATGAAGACTAGGTTAGATTCCTTCATAAGAAAGTATCACATTTTATCCGAATCACAATGTGGATTCCGGGAAGAGAAATCTACACGAAACGCATTCACACAATCAACAAAACGTATCTACAAAACAATAGATGAAAACAATAGATGAAAGTAAGCCATCAATCGGTGTTTTGATTGATTTGTCAAAGGCGTTCGATACTGTTGATCACGGAATTCTGTGAAACACTCTGGAGAATATTGGTATAAGGGGAAACACAATCAAATTATTGGAGTCATATATCACAGATCGTAAACAGATTGTCAGAATGAAAGATATAAAAAGTAGCGAAAGGAGAATTGAATGTGGGATCCCACAAGGAACGGTTTTGGTACCGATAATATTCTGTTTATACGTAAACGGATTATTCTCAGCAGGGTCCTGTGGGGAAATAATGAGTTTCGCAGATGACACAGCTATTGTCTATTCCGGAGAAACATGACTCAATGCCAAAAGATAGGCGGAAAATGACCTGGCACTAATATAAAGTTGTTATGATTATAAACAGCTATCACTGAACTTCAAAAAAAACATACTTCTTATCATCCTTCAGCAACAGACCCTTTTTACCACCGTATCAAACATAAATAATCCAAAATACCTTTCATATATGTTCAGCTACAGCTAAAGTATTTGGGAGTTATTATAGACCCTCACTCAAGATGAAATTTTCATATAAACTATGTTGTGGAACTCAAAGATATCCTGGATCAGAAGGAGAAAAAAAACCATATATTTCAGCGTTTGTTTGAAGGTGGTTGGCAATATTTCGTGGTGTATTTCATCAGTTCGGACTTCCATTGTCTAATATAATATGAATTGATTTGAAATTCCTGAAAAAATATCAAAAAGATTTACCGGAAATAACAATTTTATTCTAACAATAAAACTGAAATTACAAAGAATCAACATAAAACCAAACAACTAACGCTATTTATGCTATATAGATATCCCATAGGTAAACCATCCAGGTTAAACATATATTGTAAAATAATAGATACGACAAAAAAAATTAAAATTATGTACAATAGAAAGAATGACTACCCCTCTAATTATATATTTAGCGATTCAAAGCTACTTGATGTACGACAGTTATATATGTATAATATAATATTGTATATCTCCAAAAATAAAACATCTCTTCAGCAAATCGGTCATGATTATAATACTCGCACTAAAACAAAAAGTTATGTACAGCTAAACCTTTATTCTTAGTTTAATATTAAATATTTTTCATCGCCTTGTTTGAATGTAAAATCAATTCTGCATATCAGTTATGCATTGCGCAACTAAAGAATTCCCACGCACAACTTCGGTTTTAGTGGGTTTCTCCATGTTTGTTTGTATTGCTTTGTTTACATGTTATTATCTTGTGCTGTTGTATATTTATAAATAAACATTATTATTATTATCATAGAGGGCAATGCTGTTTTTCATCCTTATTTATGCCGAGACCAGCCGTAATTTAAATGGGGTTGAAAATATGTAGCCAGATCTATAGGAGCTGGATAAAAATCTGCCCTAATAACCACCGTCAAGAAATACTCCAAAGAACAAAAGTTTTTTCTATATGAGCTGATAATGACTACAAAATTTTCACAAACATTTTAATTTCTAGACATGTTATGATAACATCGTAGCTTCCTCGGTAGATATGAATATTTACACCCCAAAAGCAAATATAAAGTGAGTCAACAAGATTTTCTCAGTCCATTGCTATCAAAAGAAACAACTTTTTGAACTGTTCAATTTTTTTTGCAGTCATATCGATGAATACTATCTTCGAAAATTATATTCTCGCATACTGGGTGATTCAGCCGAGCGTGGCCAACTAAATTTATGTTTTTGTAAATACAAAAAATACAAAAGTATTATTATTGATATTATTGGGTTTATCAATGAAACATTAAATATAAATGACCTACATGTACCATGTAGAAACTCAACCGGTCAACTCATGTGCAATGCTATGCACTCGTCCAGATTTGTGTTTGACAATTATTATTTTGAGTAGATATCGAAGTGAAAAGGATCATGAACTTTGGGAATGTATGGAAGGACTATTGAGATACATGAAACGGACAATTGAAATCAAATTAACATATTTTAAATGCGATTATGTCAGTCTGATTGTTGGTTATGTAGATTCTGATAGGGGCAACAACGAAACTGATAGAAAAAGTACGACAGGATACTTGTTCAAGGCATTTGATAATTGTACGATATCGTGGAATACTAGGGAACAAGTTATAGTTGCCGCTTCATCCAGTGAAGCTGAATATATGGCTCTTTTTGAAGCAGTAAGAGATGATATCTGGTTAAAATCACTTCTGAGTAGTATTAATCTTATATTCTTGAGGATAATAACGGTTGCATTTGCTTGGCCAACAACCCGACTGATCATAATAGATCAAAGCAAATTGATTACAAATATCACTTCTCGAGAGAACAGATTGAGCAAAAGACAATCAAAATAAAATATATTCCAACATGTGAACAACAAGCTAATGCCTTCACCCGACCTTTATCAGTACCAAAGTTTGCAGAAATGAGAATTTCTACTGGTTTACATCAGGACTTGAG